TAAACCCAGCCCAGTAAGGTCTGGACTACTACTATGGTGTTTCGGATAGGCACATAGGAACAATTTAAGAGCTTGATATTTCTTCATCTGCAGCCCTTCTTTATGTGGCATACATAACTCCAGATCGCTATAAGCATAGGGTAACATAGCAGAATGTTTGAAATACCAGACTCTAATTAAGACTATCCTGTTGAAATTGGAGTAGAACAAGTTATGAAGTTAAATAACATGCCTGGTTAATATTCCAAACTTTCACGCAACAATCGTCACTCCCACTTGCCAATCTAGTTGGATCCACCTCTGAGAAACTCACAGACCAAGCTCTTTTCCGATGCTCTGTAAACTGTGTGAACCCTTGGCCAGTGCTTGCATCCCATAGCTGCATTCCATGGTGAAAATTAGACCAATGGCAAAACGAAAGTAATAAGGTGTGGTGCATTTCCAGGTAAGCATAAAAGAAGGAATGAATCGCCACAGTACCGAAAGAAACAAATGAGCAATGACAACTGTGAGAAAAGATTAGCAGTTAGTGGAAAATATTTTGACAGGCACAAAGTGCTTTTTTATACCAGAACATGTACGCACTGTTGAATGTTGATGCAAAACCATACTCCTAAGGTTTTCAGGATGTGAATGCAGATACAACTTTAGTGTTGAAGTACTCCCTCCGGTCCTTTTTAGTTCGCATATAAGATTTGACTGAAGTCAAGACTCGTAAAGTTTGACCAACTTTATAAAAAAAGGTACCAACATTCACAATCTGAAATCAATATCAATAGATGTGTCATGACTTAAAGTTTCATATTGTATAACTTTAGCATGGCAGATGTTGATATTTTTTCATATAAATACGGTCAAACTTTATGAAGTTTGACTTCAGAGAATTCTAATATGCAGAGTAAAAAGGACCGGAGGGAATATTAATAGATTGTCCATGCTTTCTAAACAGCTAAAGCTTTTCGGGTGAAACTCAACAAGGAAAAGATGCTTATCCTCAAACAGCAATTCACTTTACTGTTTCCAGGCGAAGCTCACTGATTCAACCTTAAGTATTTTGCTTCAATAACGGAATAGTTTGTGCTGTCCCTCCCAACTCATAATCATAATGCTAACAAAGAAACAAACCCAAACATAAAATTTGGGCACAGCAGACAACAAATTGCTTGTCCCACAACCGAAACTACTATCAGGATATGGTGCCCAAATCAATAGAACATTACATACCAATCAGTACTATGCTAGATCCAGAAGTAGGCAGTTGGTACTTAAATAATAATAATATCCAAATCCAAGATATGCATATAAAGCTCACTGAATCAGATAAATGAAGCCACTACAACAAAGGTAGGGAAAAGAACTGCAACGAATGAATGAAGTATGCCAACTTGATCATAGCATACAAGTTATACTGTTGTCTGCCGTGTGGTGAGTATCTTGGGAAACATATAATGGCACAGCACATCCATTAGATACGTACCTGAACAGTGCCATCATAGTCTGTTGATGCCAAGTAGTTCTTTATATAGTTGTTCCAACAGACACAACTAAGCTTGGACTTGCTAGGCATCTCTACTATAGGATAATGAATATCAACATGATCATTTAAAAGAGCATCAAATTCGAATATTTTGATTTTCTTTGAGACCCCAGCAGCAGCAAAATATTCTTCATCACGGTCAAAACTCAAAGAGCAGATCACATTTGGAGAGTTAAGTATATCAGCATTCTTCAAAATCCCTCGTACTTCAAACCTACTATGCCGGGCATATTTGCATAGACCATCAAAAAAGCATCCAAGGCGGTCTGTTGGCCCATTCATAGCATCGGCGTCACTGTGGTTAAAGTTTTCACGGACCCTCAAAGCATCATTATCGGAACGCTTAATTACATTAGTCTCAGATGTTTCAATGGTGGACCTCGTGGAGTAATATGCATTTTCAAGCTGCTGCAAATTCTTCATCACCCTCTCCTCGTATATGCCTGACCTGCCTGGTGGTGTTAGCAAACCTGACAACGATGCCCCTCTCAGGGCATTTGATGAAGTACCTGGCACATCATTAGAACTTGCTGGTACATCCATGTCCCCTAAACTGAACCCCATCCTCAACGAGTGTCTTCTCTCAGCCTCTACAATATCAGTCTGCAAGCTTGCAAGATCTGCTGATAACTTGGCAGCATGCATCTCCTTTTCTCCTTTCAGTTGAGACAGAAAATTCAGTAACAAACCAGACTCTGTGTCCTCCTCATTGATAGCAGCTGGCGCCTTATCTAACACCGACAAATCCCGACCCTCATTTATCAAGTCACATCCTAGAATGTCTCTAACAAAAAGAAAAAATGCTGTTAGGTATAAATTGACGTGGAACTATTTCCCCCAGTTTGCAGGTGGCAAAGACTTGTCATCTTACACATACAAAAGGAAGTACTGCTAAATTTTTGTGTGCGATCTACAGATAAAGGATTCCTGATATATCAGAACAACGCATCTACATGTAGTTGTTCCTTCATGAAAGCAATAACTTAACATTAACAAAACCCACAAATTCACTCTATAATTATATGAACAGATCTCTAGAAAGTAGAATTAGAGAAATAGTTGTCCTACAGGTACATATATGGGACCAGAAGCAAACAAAGGTAATGGACATGTCAGGGAATAATCAGTTCTCATTACACATTGAAATAACCATGTTCAGGGAGCTCTTCCTTTAACTCAAATGTAACTTCAATCATTCATCGGAATAGAACTAAATGAACTTCTGATTTTATCCAACTAATCAGTAAGGCAATGCCTTTTTGAGCTGAGGAGAGATTGAGTATGCCCACCTTGCTTTTGGTCGAGAAAAAGGATCCGGATGCAATAGCCAAAGGCAGAAGCCAGCCTCCTTGGGACTTTCTGAAAGAAAAATTGGAGGCAGGATCCGGTGGCGAAGATCTGACATTGCAGCACAATGCAGCTCCCATGTTTCACAGCAGCAAAAGAGCTGGTAAAAAAAATAAACTTGGTCAATACCTTAACCATCTGAAGATAGAATCTGTAGAATTACATGTAAACAAGAAAAGATACTGAACTCAAATGAGATTTCCAGTAAAAGGCAGATCCAGTTGTTTATGATGCATGTGTTAGCTCCTAGAGGAATATGCTGCAACACTGACTATATAAGGTGAGCAAGGCTAAAAAGGATAAGCGGGTAATACCAAAATACCATGTCAAACAACAAGATTATTCCATAATGTCAGACATAAATTGCACAACTCAATTAGATTATACTAATATAGTAACAGATGCTTTCAGCAATCAGACTGCTGTTGAACAACATAAAATATCAGGCTGGTCGGTTCTGTTTTCTATTAAGCAGGAAACACTATGATATACGAGTGTGAAAAGGTCGATATCTCATAAGTATGATTGCATAATAAGAACCACATGACTTTGATTGATATAGTAAACCATCCAAAATATGACTTCTTGAAGTGCAAACAAATAGTATTCTCGCAATCTCACTTCACTTCTATGAGCATTCAAAGTGCTTAAGACTTTAGAGAAACCTATTTCGGGACATGTCATGAAAGTAACTAACATACCTCAAATAAAAGAACCCCAAGGCTGTAGATGTTGGATGGGAATGTGCCTTTCGATTGATTGAGCTCTTCCGGGCTTCTGTACCAGCTATCTTCTAGCATCCTCAATTCAAGTACTGATTCTTGGTTGCCATAATTAGGAAAACGTTGGCCATAAGATGCATTACCGCCATAGTAAGGTTCGCCAAACTTAGAACGACCTCCGACGGTGCAACTAGAATTTCCCTGTCCTAAAGCACCTAGATCAGCACCTTCACTTTGGTTGCCCCCTTTGTGGTCAGTCCGGAAGGGATGTATCGGTCGCCTGACGGCAACAGAACCTTGTTCACCAACCTTCTGATACTTCAGGATTGAATGTCCATTGCCATTACACTCTTGGTGCAAAGTTTTCTGATCGAAGCATCGTTTTCTGTTAAAAACATCATCTGCGGCCATATCCGGTTTGGCTGGGGTTGATAAATCTTGTTTGCTGTAAGAACCGGTATACCTTACTTGGTTTGGGGATGATATTATAAAATACGACGGTCGCAACTGCTGTAAGGTTACACCCTGTGCGTGGGATTTGTCTACATGATCAAGGATCTGCTTGAACAACTGCATTTTCTCAAACTTGCTCATCGCTTGGCGTGCGGGCTTAATTAGTTCCCTCAGGCTCGTTCCCTCATACTGAGATTCGGAAACATTTCCACCACTGCTGAAAAGTGTACCATCCAATCTGGCCACAGAATCGTGTGTTGAGCTAGGAATCTTAGGGATCTTATCCATAGGGGCTCTGGGTCTTGCATTAGCTTGAACTTGGATCTCCTCGCGTGAACCTTGGTAGGTAACCCTTTTACCCTTCAATACAGGCTTAAAGGGGGAACCCTGAACCCCAGATGAAGGTGTCAAAGTCTTACTCCTCATCTGGTCGATAATTCTATTTGAGAAGCTACTCACTTTCAGACCATTATCCCTTTCAGACCGCTGCTCATTTTGATTCGGCCGTGAAGACAGGATATGCTGCTCACTTTGATTCGGCCGTGAAGACAAGATATGCTGCTCGCTTTGATTCGGCCGTGAAGACAGGATATGCTGCTCGCTTTGATTCGGCCGTGAAGACAGGATATGCTGCTCGCTCTGATTCGGCCGTGAAGACTGGATATGCTGCTCGCTCTGATTCGGCCGTG